GGGACCTTAGATTGTATACCCCTTGAGGGTTAAGGACTGACTCTAGGTAGGAGGCGGATCCCTTTGATAACGTGCGTGTGCACAAAATGCGTCAGAGAGGAGCCTACGCGCCGACGTCACGCTGCCGCATCCATACGATGGTCATCTTTGTAAGTGGATTACATTTGTTTTATGCTCCACATGGATGCTTCTTTACATTTTAATAATATTTTCTGCACCATAAGTGGTTTCCTTTTGGCCCTTTTTGTGAGCTATCTCCTTCAAGGTTGGGCCATTTTGCTTCTGAGAATGGAGCCAACTTTTGGGGGAATCAACTGTATTTGTTGAATTGAAGCTGTGCATACCTTTTATCTGTACCTGGATAAGGTTGACCTGCTGGAGGAGTTTTTCAATTTTGAATGTGCATTTATTATTTGTTTCTGGTGAGTGCATTAGAAGATAGAAATTGTCACGGATTCACTCATCACCTGATGTCACACTTATCTATAAATTTTTGGACACTATACATATGAGATTTATTGTTTGTATTATTTTGATATTTAAGCAATAATTAAGCTAAATTATTTGCTCACGCAAGTCACTTATTGTTTTATCATTTTTTCAGGTCACTTATTTTATGCACTATAGCGCTGCACTCTCTTTTTATGATATGCATGAATGTAAGTTAGGGATCTTAGATTGTACGCACCTTGAGGGTTAGGGATCCCTTTAAAACCAAAAACATATTAATTATACAGGTTCTGTGGCTGATTAAGGTGCTAATTAAACTCTTTTAGTGTCTTATCTGCATGAAATTAGCCTCAGAACCTGTGCAATTAATATGTGTTCAGTTTTAAAGTGATGAGGTGGCAACCCTAGTAAGGGACTGATGTGAATGTACAATATATATGTAAAGCACTGCATAAATTGATGGGCTATATAAGTACCTGCAATAAATAAAAATTCAAAAGTAAATTTTATTATCTAGGGCCTCTGCTTTAAAAATATATACTATTTGGGGATTCTAAGCAATTTTCTAGCAAAAAATACTGATTTTTACATGTAAAGAAAAACTGTCAGAAAAGGCTTGGTCTTCAAGTGGATAGGGAGTTCATAAACAGGAAGGGGACCATTTGCCTATGTCTTTGCTTCTGCAAAACTCTGGCTGACATGCCCTGGCTGAGCTTATTTATAGAAAAATTGATCACAGGCAATCGTCAACGATCCCCTTAAATTGACCAACAACCATAGCACTCCTTATCAATTTCTGGAAAGATCCTTCCTTAGAAATACCATTCATAGGTGTTGACCATCGTCTAATGTTTGTGGGTAACTTCAGTAGGGTAAGGAACCACCTTATTACCCCTGTAGAATCCCATAGGTTACAGTTCCCTCCTGAATCTGTTTTTCAACAATTTGCTGGGCTGATGAGCAGCTGCACTTGCTGGACATCCAACTTATCTTCAGCCTGTGTGCTCAGCCGTTGTGTTTATCAGTCTTTAGCTTGTCAACGCTTGGCACAGGCTTGTCAGAAACTTGGCATTGTGAATCGTAAAACATAATGAGAACTCATATTCCAAGCCATTTCCTTTGAACATGGAGTATTGTCACACCTAGAACAACATCCTATCACCCCCTGCATAAATTCATTCACCAGTAAAATGTTATTTTAGCCTGCCCAATGGACTGTAACTAGTGATGATAAGCAGCCAGCTAGCACTAGGACTACTTATATATGTATAGATGTTGCCTGATCTTATCTGGCTGAATGCGCCAGGGTTGGGCAACTGTCATATCATTCTAGGAGAACCCTTAGGGCTCTATCACACCTGTCTGTATTCTGCTGTAAAACACATACATTGCATATACACTGCAATGAAAATTGATTTCAACTTGAAATTCTATTCATTATTAACCTCTTCACGCCGGCCGAACGCAAATGTGCGGCCTCCCGGCGTCTGGGCTGCAGACGACATCTCAATCAGCATTAACATGTCAAAGCTTATAACATGTCAAAGTAAAATGTATTTTTAGTGAGCAGATACTTTGATTGCTGTGCAAACTGTTGGCGCTATATAAATCCTGTATAATAATCATTATTATTATTGAAATATTTACTTTGAATGCGAAACAGTCAGAAATTTTAAATCCTGAATCTCCATTTCCCATGGCTATCGATTGGCCTGTTGCCATGGTAAATGTGCTGACAAACCTAAAAAAAAAGCATGAAAGTGAATGGAACAGTGAAAGGCTTTCAAAGCTATGGGTGATATTTGAATGCCTGACAACATCGGGGCATGCTTCTAATGAGACAACGGATGGTGTCCTGAGGTATTTCCTCTCAGATCTGGACCAGGGCACCACTGAGCTCCTGGACAGCCTGAGGTGCAACCTGGCGGCGTCGGATGGACTGAAACATGATATCCCAGAGGTTTTCTATTAGATTTAGGTCAGCTGAGCGTGGGGGCCATTCAATGGTATCTATTCCTTCATCCTCCAGGAACTACCTGAATACTCTCACCACATGAGGCCGGGCATTGTCGTGCACCAAGAGGACCCCAGAACCCACTGCACCAGCGTAGGGTCTGACAATGGGTCCAAGTATGTCATCCCAATACCTAATGGCACTCAGGATGCCATTGTCTAGCCTGTAGAGGTCTGTGCGTCCCTCCATGGATATGCCTCCCCAGACCATTACTGACCCACCACCAAATTGGTCATGCTGTACGATGTTACAGGCAGCATAACGTTCACCATGGCTTCTCCAGACCCTTTCACATCTGCCACATGTACTCAGGGTGAACATGCTCTCATCTGTGAAAAGCACAGACCGCCAGTGGCAGACCTGCCGATATTGGTTTTCAATGGGAAATGCTAATCAAGCTCTATGATGCCGGGCAGTGAGAACAGGACCCACTAGAGGCTGTCGGGCCCTCAGGCCACCCTCATGAAATCTGTTTCTGATTGTTTGGTCAGAGACTTTCATACCAGTGGCCTGCTGGAGGTCATTTTGTAGGGCTTTGGCAATGCTCATCATGTTGCTCCTTGCACAAAGTAGCAGATATCAGTCCTGCTGATGGGTTAAGGACCTTCTACGGCCCTGTCCAGCTCCCATAGAGTAACTGCCTGTCTCCTGAAATCTCCTCCATGCAACCTCTGTATGGTCCAGGTATCGCACCATGCTACAAGTAGTGACACTGACCCTAGGCAATTGTAAAACTAGTGAAAAACAGTCAGAAAAGGGTAGGGAAAGCAATGTCAGTGGGCGCCATCTGTAAAACCATTCCTGTTTTGGGGGTTGTCTCACTGTTGCTCATCTAGTGCACCTGTTGTTAATTTCATTAACACCAAAGCAGCTGAAACTGATTAACAACTCCCTCTGCTACTGAACAGACCAGATCAACATCCCAGAAGTTTAATTGACTTGATGCTATACCCTGATTAAAAAGTGTTCCTTTAATTTTTTTGAGCAGTGTGTATGTATATATATATATATATATATATATATATATATATATATATATACACAGTATATATACACACTGTATGTATCTTTCAGCCTCATCATTATTATTATTATTATACAGTATTTATAAAGCGCCAATAGTTCGCTCAGCGCTGTACATTACAAAGGGGGACAGAACATGTGACAGAACAATAACAATACAATGCAAAACATGAGGGGATCGAGGGCCCTGCTCTTTCGTGCTTACAATCTAGGAGGGAGGGGATGGTGGCACAGGAGGAGAAAGCTGTGGGGGACGGAGTGGTAGGAAGAGTGGAGGAGGTCAGCAAGTTAGCAGGGGGTGGGGTAGGCTTCCCTGAAGAGGTGGGTTTTCAGGGTGCGCCTAAAGGAGAGGAGAGTAGGTGATAATCTGATGGGTTGGGGCAGGGAGTTCCAGAGGATGGGTGACACCCTGGAGAAGTCCTGAAGGCGGACATGGAAGGAGGAGACCAGAAACTAGAGAGAAGGAGGTCTTGTGAGGAGCGGTGTGCGTGTGCGTGCTGGGTGGTACTTGGATATTAGGTCGGTGATGTAGTTCGGGGCAGTATGGTGGACAGCTTTGTACGTCAGTGTTAGGATTTTTAATTTGATCCGTTGCACAATCGGAAGCCAGTGGAGGGATTGGCAGAGGGGGGTGGCGGAGATGGAGCGGTTGGAAAGGTGAATGAGTCTGGAAGCCGTATTCAGGATCGACTGAAGCGGGGATAGCCAGCGGCAAGGCAGGCCAGTGAGGAGGGAGTTGCAGTAGTCGAGTCGTGATACGATCAGGGAGTGGATGAGCTGTTTAGTGGTTTCTGGAGTTAGGAACGTGCGGATTTTGGCGATGTTGCGGAGGTGGAGTCTGCATGAGTTAGTTAAAGATTGGACTTGGGGCTGGAAGGATAGGTTGGAGTCCAGAATGACACCAAATACTCTGGCCTGCGGGGAGGGTTTGATGGTGGTGTTGTTGGACATGATGGAGAAGTCAGTGGGGGTGGGGTCCGGGCTGGGGGGAAGACAAGAAACTCAGTTTTGGAGAGGTTCAGTTTAAGGAAGTGGAGTGACATCCAGTCTGATATGTCGCTCAGTAGGTGTGTGATTCGGGCGGAGACCAAGGGGGTGAGGTGGGGGGTTGAGAGATAGATTTGTGTGTCGTCGGCATATAGGTGGCAGTTGAAGCCGTGAGAGTGTATGAGTTGGCCAAGGGAGGAGGTGTAGATGGAGAAGAGAAGGGGCCCGAGGACGGAGCCTTGAGGGACCCCAACAGAGAGGGGGAGTGAGGGGGAGGTGGTAGCATTATAGGTAATGCTGAAAGAGCGTTGTGACAGGTAGGATGAGAGCCAGGAGAGAGCAGAATCTCTGAGGCCGAGGGAGTGTCATTTTTTGAGGAGGAGGGGGGGGGGGTGGTCAACTGTGTCGATTCATATACAAGGCCTAAATACCAACTGTGAGTCTGGTTGACATGTAATATATTGATATGAGATATATCTTTTCATGGCAAAGCTGCCACCTCCACTATAAAAAGTGAAGGCCTCACCTGTGATTTGTCTCTTTATCTCCAGGTCCTGTGTATCTCTCATCAAGTTCAGTAGAGTTGGCATCCCCCTCTGTTCGCACACCTCCAGTTTGTTATCGTTGTCCTCGAACACCAAATTCCTGAGAGCCGCGCAGGCTGCCCGCTGCACTTCCTCATTGTCATTGTTCAGAAGGCGTATCAGCCGTGGAATCCCACCTAGGGTGTATACCTGTAGGACACAGCACAGACATGATTAAGGGGACACAGGTCTGAGAGAGTTCTACAAAATGCACTACCTCCTTAACATTTAGCAGGATTTAGTGGCATCCAATTATATAGCAGATTTTATTGGTTTAGTGAAGAGCAAGAATAGATAATATCTGATTGGTGACAACAGGTTATTGTACTTTGCTCCTGGCTGTGAAAAAAGAGAGTGATTAAAGGAAACCTATAATGTTTTGGGTCAGTAATATTTTGTTTTTTAACATTTTTAAGCTGATGTAGTATATCCTTTGTTTTTTGTTTTTTTTTCAATTTATATGAAATCTTAATCTGGTAAGTCAGCTTCAAAGTTCAGAAGCATGGAGGATCAACGTGATAGCCAGGTAATTAGCATTTTCAGAATAAGACGTCTGCCATGGCTTTGCATGATCAATCCTGGCATGATCACATTGCTACATACAGTATATGACACTAGACCATCTAGCTCAACCTAAATTGTTCTTTAGTCCCTCACATTACGTTCAACAGAAAAGTCCAGCTGCTAAAAATTAAGTTTAGTATTTTAGCTCCATCTGAAATGAATTTCAGAAAGAGACTCTGAATTCCAGAGGGGATTAAGATATCACTCCTGTGTGAAATTCCTGCCTTCCTAACTAAATCTCATTCCCTGCTCTGAGCTCTGACCGGGTCAACAAAAATCCAATCTCATTAGTGGCTATGATAAAAGAAAATATGTATTTTTCAAGTGTTGATGTTAAGCTATAAAGGTAACTCTTTGATAAAACTGTGCATGTTTCCCACATGTGTATAGACTGGCTGTAAACAGTTTCTTCTCTCTCTCAGAGACTTTATTGGTAAGGTCCATGTGTTGATTTCCCTGTTTCCTTATGAGGGACCCCCATAGTCTCTGTGCTGACTTTCCAGGTCTGTACACCTGTTGTGATCAATATGAGGGATCCCCACCATCCCTGTTCTGAACTTCCAGGTCTACACACCTGATGTACCCATTATGAGGGACTCCCATCATCCCTGTGTTTGAGTCCTGGGTCTCCACACCTAATGTGCTCATTATAATGGGCTTACACCATCCCTGTGCTGAGTTCCTGATCTGTACATCTGCTGTGCCCATTATGGGGGCTCTCACCGTATCCTCTAGATTTTCTTTTAGAGAATAGCATGAAAGATGACATCACATCTTTCTCTGTTACAGTCAATGAATACAGTTGTGTCAACTGTCCATCCTGCAGCTTGTTATTGGATAATGAAGGAGCAGCAACACAGTGATAAGTCATCCCTCTGTTTACTCTACTCTCGCCTCCTGTCAGCATGCTCCCTGTCAACACATGTGCATACAGCAGAGACTGACTTACTCTTTGTTCTGACCTTTCCTCTCCAAGGCTGAGTACAGCTGTGAGGGAGATTACAGAAGATAATATCAAAACACATTTGGATACGTACACTCTTATGCTAACTGTATGAAAGCCTACCATTAGTTATTTTTAAAGGAGTACAGAACTGAATTATATAGCAGACGTTCAGCACTAAATAATGGGAAGGATGGAGTGGATGAAAGTACAAAATGCTAAAGTTTATCCCTCTTATGCACATCAGTAGGAGCCATGTTTAATAAAGCCACTCATTCCACTGTAGGTACTCTTACTGTCAGCCTAGTGGGTAGTAATGAAGAGAATTTAAGAACTCTTCAGTCAATACATGCAAACACAAGAGTTACAAATGTCACTGAGAAACATACCCGCCTTCTTGCCTCAATCTTCTGGAAGCACTCATGTTGAATGAAGTTGGCAGCTGCAACTTGCCAGTATGAGGTGGAGTTGTCACTTTGCAGCACACTCACTGCCCTCTCCAGGGTCATGTCCACCTCTGACGTCACCTGAACCGGAGCTGAGCTTCTGGTAAAAGACATAACAATTTCTCATTGGCAATGGCAGCAGCAGTTGTCATGACCAAAGTGTTAAAACCAACTAATCAGAAATCACTAATGTGTTAAAGAAAAATTCTAGTTTAACGGCAAAGATGTACTAATCAATTTTTTTTTATTTTTCTATAGCTAAAACACACCATCTACACCAGCCTTTCTCAAACAGGGTTCTTCCAGAGGTTGCTAAGAGTTCCTTGAGCAGTGAGCAGTTTCTGCCTCTCAGATAAGTAACCATTGACAGCAATAATCTTTTTAGCCACCTCTAAGGGGAAGATTCTTCCTAATGACCACACATCTAAAGGTTATTCTCCGCAGTGACCAGCACACAAATGTATCAGGAGCTATAGCTATAGTAATGGTTAGCAGGTGTTCCCTCAGACTGGAACATTCTTTCAAAGGTTCCTCCATGTTAAAAAGGCTGAGAATGGCTGATGTACACTATAAGGAAAAAAGTGTGTCAATCCCTCCTAGAAATGATTGAGTTCAGGTATTTCCACTGAAGGGTACTGCTAATACTACTGCAGACAACCGTCCTTGTGGCAGCAGTTTGGGGAAGGCTGTTCTTTTCTGTGTCCCTGTGTACAAAGCAAGCTCCATGAATACATGGTTTGACCAGTTTTGAATTGGAATGCTCTTACCTGACCACACAAATGCTCTTTTTGATGGAATGGTAAGCCATCCTAGAAGAGTGGAGGCTGTTATAGCTGCAAAAAGGGAGGTCAACGCCATATAAATGTTCTAGGTTTTGGAATGGGTCATCCAACAAGCGCATATGAGTGCCCACAAGTATTTACATTTGTCTGCTGTGAATTTCAAGGGGTAAGTCACTTGGCCAGTTTTGTTAAAACATTAGACTGTCAAGAGTCTTCGGCAGAGTCCTTAGCATTGGCCACCTTATTGCCCACTACTATCCAGGATTCCCTTATTTATTAAAAAAAAACACAGTCTGATCACTGAGGAAGGGGGGTGGTGGTGGTGGTGGTAGTGGTGTTGGTGGTGGTGGGGATTGAGTGAAGCTTCCTCCTGTCAGAAGTTGTCTGGGGAAGATCAATTGAACTGCAGCTTATGTAGGCTTTTAAATGACAAATGGTATAGCATTTTGAAAAGATTATACTGTACTATTGCTCTACTCTGTGATACGTCAGGAATAGGTTTATGCAGAACTGTAAAGATCCAATTCAAATGCCCCAGTATCAGTGATTCTGATAATATACTCCCAGGTCCCACAGATGCTGGAGGTCTCTTGAACACATTTTCTGGTCCCACAGATGCTGGAGAACAGTAAGGTCCACTTTGGCCTTCAAAATATAGGGTGTGCCCTACTAACTTTGACTTAATTATATTTGGCATTTCTGTGTGAGATCACAATCAAACCAACCTTGTTTAAAGTATTTTAGTTCACCTGCAGTTCTGGAAAAACAATGTGCTGTAAAGTAGTGGTTAGTGAAGGTTGCCACTCCCCTGTTATTAGGATGGTTTTAGGATGTTTCAGAAGAATGATGTAAACTGCCCCCTCCTCTACCAGTTAAACCCAATCCCCCACAACAATTAAGACCTGGGTTTGGCAGCAATGACAGGATTTTGTGTTGGGATGTTCTGTTTTACACCCATCTCTTCCCCAACCAAGTGTGCATGTAATAGGCAAACAGTGTGGCATTAATAAAGCTGGCCATGAACACATTAGTTCAAAAAACATTTGCTTTAACATTCAATATCAAGTGAATGGACTTTTCCAAAACCAAAACTAAATTCAATGTTAAAAATTCCTTCGTTTGAGAATCATTTTCCATCCTGCCCCTTTGAATTTTTTCAACTGTGGTAAAAAATGAACGTTGATTTAACCTCACTAACGATTAGAAAATGGAATAAATTCTACTAGTGTATGGCCAGCTTAAGACCAGAGCAGGCCTTTAACTTGACACTTGCAAAATATAATGGAAACTTCAGCAGTGGAATAACCAAGTGCAGTTTCTATCTCTGCTGTCTATCTTCCAAAGCATTATGTTTACTTTTCAGTGCAGATGTTCTTAAGAAACACATTCATGACAACTAACTTACCCAACAGGCCCTTCCATCTGGACACCATCAACACGGTCTTGCACAATTCCACTTCCAGCAGCAACCCTCCCAGCTGTCATGGTTGTTCTCTTGCCACTCATGTTCATTCCACTGACTCCAGAATAATCCCCCCTTCCAGTCCTGTAGACAGTCTTTTGGTATGTCGCTCTGTGAATCTCTGGTCTACTGTACATCTGTTGTGGTGAGATTACTGCTTTAACTTGGCCACTACCTGCCATGTAGGAAGTCTGGTAATTCTCCTTATCAAGAAGGTTGTTTAGACTTCGGCTGTTCCTCTGTTCATAGATGGCTTTGGCTGGACTGTTTGGGCCGCTGTTCATGAACACAGAATCTTGGTCAGACATGTTGGACTTTCTGGTGGTGCTCTGCCGTGCTTTAGCCGCAGTTCCAAATTCGGAGCGTGAGTAGCGGGCAGTGGAGGCATTGTACTGCCGGTGATCTGGATATCTTAAGCTGGCTGATGTATTTTTCCTTTGTTCATATGTTCCCATTCCAACTTCTCTTTCTGGAGAAACCTCCTTTCTAGATAGAGGCTTCCTCTGGTTCAAGTCTCTTTCAGTACCCCACTGACTGTAGGTATTGTAGCTCCCAGCCCAACCATTTTCCTGCCTCCGTTGGCCATATTGTGAGTATCCTCCACTCCACCCATTTTCATACGCTGATGTCTGATAGTCCTGGAGGGAAAATACAAAATAGCAGTAGCATAACAAGTTAAAGTTGTATGTCTGGGCATCAAAAAAAATAAATAAATAAATAATAATAATAATAAAAAAAATAAAAAAAAAAAAAAAAAAAAAAAATATATATATATATATATATATATATATACAGTGGGGATCGAAAGTTTGGGCACCCCAGCTAAAAATTTGTATTAATGTGCATAAAGAAGCCAAGGAAAGATGGAAAAATCTCCAAAAGGCATCAAATTACAGATTAGACATTCTTATAATATGTCAACAAAAGTTAGATTTTATTTCCATCATTTACACTTTCAAAATAACAGAAAACAAAATAATGGCATCTGCAAAAGTTTGGGCACCCTGCAGAATTTATAGCATGCACTGCCCCCTTTGCCAAGCTGAGACCTGCCAGTGTCATGGATTGTTCTCAATCATCGTCTGGGAAGACCAGGTGATGTCAATCTCAAAGGTTTTAAATGCCCAGACTCATCTGACCTTGCCCCAACAATCAGCACCATGGGTTCTTCTAAGCAGTTGTCTAGAAAACTGAAACTGAAAATAGTTGACGCTCACAAAGCTGGAGAAGGCTATAAGAAGATAGCAAAGCGTTTTTAGATGTCAATATCCTCTGTTCGGAATGTAATTAAGAAATGGCAGTCATCAGGAACAAAGGAAGTTAAAGCAAGATCTGGAAGACCAAGAAAAATATCAGACAGAACAGCTCGCAGGATTGTGAGAAAAACAATTCATAACCCACGTTTGACTGCACGATCCCTCCAGAAAGATCTGGCAGACACTGGAGTTGTGGTACACTATTCCACTATAAAGAGATACTTGTACAAATATGGTCTTCATGGAAGAGTCATCAGAAGAAAACCTCTTCTACGTCCTCACCACAAAAATCATCGTTTGAACTTTGCAAATGAACATATAGACAAGCCTGATGCATTTTGGAAACAAGTTCTGTGTACCGATGAGGTTAAGACTGAACTTTTTGGCCGGAATGAGCAAAGGTACGTTTGGAGAAGAAGGGGCACAGAATTTAATGAAAAGAACCTCTGTCCAACTGTTAAGCATGGGGTTGGATCAATCATGCTTTGGGGTTGTGTTGCAGCCAGTGGCACAGGGAACATCTCACGAGTAGAAGGAAAAGTGGATTCAATAAAATTTCAGCAAATTTTGGATGGTAACTGATGCCATCTGTGAAAAAGCTGAAGTTGAAGAGAGGATGACTTCTACAAATGGATAATGATCCTAAACACACCTCGAAATCCACGGGGGATTACATCAAGAGGTGTAAACTGAAGGTTTTGCCATGGCCTTCACAATCTCCTGACCTCAACATAATTGAAAATCTATGGACAGACCTTAAAAGAGCAGTGCGTGACAGACAGCCCAGAAATCTCAAAGAACTGGAAGACTTTTGTAAGGAAGAATGGGCAAAGATACCTCAAACAAGAATTGAAAGACTCTTGGCTGGCTACAAAAAGCGTTTACAAGCTGTGATACTTGCCAAAGGGGGCAGTACAAGATATTAACTCTGCAGGGTGCCCAAACTTTTGCAGACGACATTTTTTTGTTTTCTGTTATTTTGAAAGTGTAAATGATGGAAATAAAATCTAACTTTTGTTGACATATTATAAGAATGTCTAATCTGTAATTTGATGCCTTTTGGAGATTTTTCTATCTTTCCTTGGCTTCTTTATGCACATTAATACAAGTTTTTAGCTGGGGTGCCCAAACTTTCTATCCCCACTGTATATATATATATATATATAGTATATACAGTTAATGTCTCCAATACATGTACAAAATACCTGTTGATTTTGCCAGAAATCCAAGAAGCTCCTAATTTCCTGTGCCTGTACTGCACTGATATTTCAAGAAGTGTTATCAGCCCTGCAGCTCTGTCCAGTTCTGTGTTACAGAACACCTCCCCCGTATGTTATGATTGTAGCACTACCCACGCAGGAGCTGCTTGGTAGATTGGTTCTCTGTTCTTCTGCTTTGACTCTGATAACAACCTCAGCCCCACCTACATACCAGGTTAAGCAAATGGATACTGCACTGCTACTGGGAGCACAAATAAACATACCCTGCACACAACTAAAGTTCAGTATAAAAAAGCAAACATCAGACCAGTAAGTGGTAGATGAACTCAATATATTGCCACGAGTTGCAGTAAATAGCAGTATGTGCATAAATGAGTGAGTAAAGGATTAGGTCAATCACAGTTCACTAAACAATATGTTCACTAGGCTATAGCAGCATAGAATGGTGTTCTATGCAGCTAAATTACGGTAAACCTGCTAATCCACAAAATCAGCAATAAGTAATGGCATTAGAAGGCAGTAACAGCAATGATAATTAATACTGTGATAAATCCTCTGTAAACAGTAAGCTATATCCACTGTAGCTTGCACTCTATGTGAATGACAGCAATTAAATGTAAAACTCCCAAAATAGGTACTTCTTATTATGGACAATAGACAAAGTTCTTGTGAAGCAGCTATCTGAGTGAGCAATCTTTAGCCCTAGTTCTTCAGCCAGCTAGTGTTGGGGCCCAGTCATTATGGTGGTGTACATGAGTACAGTCCCAGTATAGTGTGCATGCAGTAAATAATGCTGCTAGCTAGATGGCCAGTCTTTATGTGCTCAGCCTCTGCTAGCAGCAACAGGTTAATGGTGGCAGTGTCCTCTGACCAGTCCCAGCGATACAGCAACAGGGGTCCCACTGTTCAGATGTCAGCTCAATTTTTGGTCTGCCTGGAGTGACTCTAGTCCTCAGAACAAGGCTGCAGGCTCACAGTAGGTTAATGTGCACAGATATGCACACCTCAGTCTCCTTGTAGCAAAGAAGAAATCCCTTGGTATTCAGTTTGTGAAAATGCATCTCTCTCTCTTTATACCTGGCTTGCTTTAGGAATTGTTCCAATAGTCCATTAACTGCCATAATAAAGTTTCTCTACCGAACTTCATCTCCCATGATTCTATGCTGCCAACCATCAAGTCTTCTTCTGCTTGTCAGCTCCTCCTGGTGGATGAGGGAGGTAGTGTTAACGCATTCAGCTGTAGTCCATTGGGAAACACGGCCCCACAGCACAGTGTCCTAAATTTCTGTCTGTAGCCAAGCACCTGACTACATGAAAATAAAGAGACATGAAGGTTTTCTGTAGTCCAGGTGAGAATTGGGCAGCAGTGACTACACTGTTCCTCCATAGATACAGTACAGGGAATGAGCATTGTCACCCTGGGACAGGAAGTGTGTTACTGGCAGGGAAATTAGGTGAAAGTATACAAAGGCAGAAAAAAACAGTCCTGATAAATTCCCCAATTCCTCTTGTGACTAATGACCCCAGAATTGGCGTATATTGCGTCATTTCCAGGGTCACAGTAGTATAGCCGAGGATGCAGATATTGAAACACAATCTGTGTTTGAATAGTAGCACTGGAGGGCAGGAGAACGAGGCTCTAAAAGACCCCGCAATGTTTCCCTAAAGAGTTCCTGTCACTTGCCCACAGTATCATGTGGCCCATGTTTGTGACTGAAAAAAAGGAAAAAGTGTTAAAAAAGAATAACTAAATAAATACAAATAATGTATTTTTTTCTAATCACCCCTGTCACCCCCGCACACATACCATACAAAATACGCAGGGTGGGGTGAGCATGCATATGTAAACAGCAATTGCGCTGCACATCTGAAGTATTGTCCCAAATATCGATATGAGAGCAATAGTTCTGGAGCCATAGTTCACAATTAATTCTAAACTGAAACCCTGCTTTTAAAGTGTCACTTATTGAGAATTTTGGATATCTTTTTTTGCGATTCCCTGTGCATGAGCAATTTTAAGATTTGACATGTTTGGGATCTATTTACTTAATGCAGCCCAATGTATGTTTGATAAAATATGTGTTTGATAAATAAGTGCACAAATATTGCACAACATAAAAAAATGCTACTACAGTCATATTATTCTTTAGGGTCTCTGCTTTCAGAAAATATATTTTTGGGGATTTACTGTAATTCTAGCAAAAAATGCTGATTTTAACATGCGTGCAAAAAAAAATTAAAAATGCTCTGGTACGCAAGTGGTTAAAGGTTCATTTCTCATCTATCGGCTTTGACATGCAGGCAGAATTGCCATGGCCCATTTCTGTTGTTGTGAAAACATTTTTTATTGACAGGTCCTCTGTACCTGGGCAAAGTATACAATTTCCACCCATGACATATATGCTGAGAGTGGAGGAATGTCTTCATTGTTTGGGGTCAGGGAAATACCTTCAATGCCTTTGATGTCTGGGAAATGGTTGACCTCTGGGCAGCCTTTCCATAGTGGCTGGTTAGTGATGCTTACAAACGCCTTTCAAAATGTTAATAAATAAGGTTTAATATCCCTAGGTGCCTTTATAGTTTGGTTCATGCCTAAAACTCTTTGCCTCCATATGAGAAAGGTCTTGGCTAGATATGCTTAGATTTGAATGTGTGTTGGCCTATTTTTACATAATAATCTGCGCCCTGCCTAGAGGCACTGCTATCCCTCAGGAATGCCGACTAGTTGGGCGAGTCTCTTTGTATGCAGGGCATTTGATACGGGGTGGATCCCCGCAGAGAAGCAGTGTTTGTACACATGAGACTGCTTCATGACATATCTCCAAGATTGTAAGCTCTAATGAGCAGGGTCCTCTGTTTCCTCGTGTACCAAATTGTATTGTAACTGTAATGTCTACCTTCATTTTGTAAAGCGCTGAGCAAACTGTTGGCGCTATATAAATCCTGTATAATAATAATAATAATAATAATAAAAAAATAATAATATATGAAGAACAAGAGGACTTTTTAAGAATATTAAAGCATACTTAAATCTAAAACATTTCTATAATGTAGCTTCATTTTTACCTGGTAATCCTACCAATAACACACTTGCTGTACTAGGGTGACAACACTCACACATTCCACTGTTCCCATAAAGGGAAGCATAGCTGTCATCCAAGCTGGACTTCAAACATGTCTCTCTTCATCTCCTTTACATGCGGGTTGGGAGGATTATTAGTTTACAGATGGAAGATAACATTGTTTGTGCTTTCAGTTCATCTTACTGGAATGACAAGGACACTGCATTTCTTGTAAGATCGTCAGGTATTTTCTAGACTTCATGAAAATGTTCCTAGCCTGATAAAAAGAAAACGAATGCAGCCGCCACATCTAAGGACAAGCAAGCTGCAATATATTACATTTTTGTTTTTGAATTTAGATATCTTTTAAGACTTATTTAATAAAGCAATGCTAAAAAAAAGTGCAAAAGGATAGTAAGCCACAGCAACCAAAATGATTAATTGACTGAGGTTGGATGAATAGACGTGACTTCTGGTTGCCAAAAGCTGGAGCACAATTTTGCCTTGTCTACTTAGCAAGGATGGCTACAGACTCTAAACATGTCTCCTACTGAAAGATGGCTGGTTAGATGTCTCGCTGTCCTGTTTGTGATGTTCAGGTGATGTTCTGAAGCACTTGTTATCATCCATTAAAATGTATAAAAAAAAATTAAATTTAATACAACGGATATTGCAGCTTGCCAGTCCTTAGATATGGTGGCTGCATTAGCTTTAGGATTTTTTTTCTTTCTTTTTACCTAATGATCCTGACAGTAACACACTTTCAGTCCTAGGGTATCTAGGAGGGAGCAGCATTGTCACTCTATTGCAGGAAGTGTCTTCTCTTCTGCATAACATAGGGGGGATGTGTTCTGTAGTTCTAACATACTTGCTGAATACATTGTTTGAGAGAAGATTGCAGAGGTGCACTGGACAGCACTGGATTTCTGATAAGATCAACAGATACTTTTGATCAATGCAGAAAAAGTATTTAACAATATACTTTTAATGTTATATTTATTGGAACAAAAATGAGCAAAAAAAAAAAAGAAAAAAAAGAGATGTTCATTGTTAAAGCAATATTAAACTGCCCAAAAAAAATTGCAAAAAAATGTCCCCTGAAAAATAATAGCATAATGTGCTAGTATGCAAAGATGTACTAGAAGATTTAGAACCACTAACACATTGAAGCCAAACTGCAGCTCACACTTTATAATCCATTACAGCAAACAGTTGATTTCCTTTTGGGATAAAGGTGAATAAATAAGCTCCAAGGAGCAGGGCCCTCCTATCCCTCTTGTATTGAACTGTATTGTTGCTGTATTGTCTCCCATTATTATTATTATTATACAGTATTTATATAGCGCCAAAGGGTATGCTCAGCGCTGTACAATAGCAAGGGGGACAGAACATGAGACAAGACAGAAACAATACACGAGGGGTTCGAGGGCCCTGCTCTTTTGAGCTTACAATCTAGGAGGGAGGGGAAGGTGGTACAGGAGGAAGTGGCTGTGGGGGATGGAGTGGTGGAGGAGTGGAGGAGGTCAGTTGTTAGGTGAGGGTGGGGTAGGCTTCCCTGAAGAGATGGGTTTTCAGGGTGTGCCTGAAGGTGAGGAGGGTAGGTGACAGTCGGATGGATTGGGGTAGGGAGTTCCAGAGGATGGGAAAGTCCTGGAGAAATCCTGAAATCGGGCATGGGAGGAGGAGACCAGGGAGCTAGAGAGTAGGAGGTCCTGTGAGGAGCGAAGGGCACAGGTAAGGTAGTATTTGGGTATCAGGTCAGTTATGTAGTTTGGAGCGGCGTTGTGAATGGCTTTGTAGGTCAGAGTTAGCAGTTTGAATTTGATGCGTTGGGCAATCGGGAGCCAGTGAAGGGATTGGCAGAGGGGGGTGGCGGATGTGGAGCGGTTGGTGAGGTGGATGAGTCTCGCCGCTGAGTTCAGGATAGACTGGAGTGGGGATAGCGTTTGTTTGGGTAGGCCAGTGAGAAGGGAGTTGCAGTAGTCCAGGCGTGAGATGATGAGGGAGTGTACGAGTTGTTTAGTAGTGTCTGGGGTGAGGAATGTGCGTATCTTGGAGATGTTGCGGAGGTGGAGCCTGCATGATCTTGATAGTAATTGGACGTAAGGTAGGAAGGAAAGGTTGGAGTCCAGGGTGACACCCAAGACTTTGGCATGTGGGATGGGAGTGATGGTGGCATTGTTAGTAGTGATGGAGGAGGATGGGGGGGGGGGGGAGACCAGGAGCTCGGTTTTGGACAGGTTTAATTTTAGGAAATGGAGCAACATCCAGTCTGATATGTCGTTCAGGAGGTGGGCGATGCGGGCGGAGAGTGAGGGGGTGAGGTGGGGGGTGGAGAGGTAAATTTGTGTGTCGTCGGCATAGAGGTGGTAATTGAAGCCGTGGGAGTTTATTAGTTTGCCAAGGGAGGAGGTGTAGATGGAGAAGAGGAGGGGTCCAGGGACCGAGCCTTGGGGGACCCCAACAGAGAGGGGGAGTGAGGGGGAGGTGGCAGTGTTATAGGTGACGCTGAAGGAGCGTTGGGATAGGTAGAAGGAGAACCAGGAGAGAGCAGCGTCCCTGATGCCAAGGGAGTGCAGTTTAGTAAGGAGGAGGGGGGTGGTCGACTGTGTCGAAGGCCGTGGAGAGGTCAGGGAGCAGGAGGACAGAGTAATGGCCATTGGCCATTATATTGTAAAGCACTGAGCAAACTGTTGGCGCTATATAAATCCTGTATAATAATAATAATAATAATAATAATAAATAAAAGCTGATCATTGTAAGCACCCCTGTCAATGCTGAATGGTTTGTCTTATCCCTGTAACTGATACATCTGGAAGAGATCTTGTTTTTTTTAAAAACAAAAGACTTACTGGCCAGATCACCAGGTGAAAATATAAGAAAAAAATCTAAAAAAAATCAAACTAATACAGCCATCACATCATCTAAGAACTGGTAAGCTACAATATAATGAAAAAAGTTTGCTTTTGGGTTTACTGTAAAAACACTTTAATGCATTCTCTGCAGTACACCCCGGTCACATCAGGTGCGATTTGGCATGTGATTTGCATGCCATGTCACTTGCAAATCGTATGCCAAATCACACCTTATTGTCCACAATTACAGCGGTCAAATCGGTGCAGTTCTGTCTTGATCGGAGCCGCACCGATTTCTAAAGTAGTACATGCACAATTTTCATGTGATTTGCATAGATATCTGTGTCAGATGTCTTGTAAATCGCACCTGAAATTGGCATGTTCCCCGACTTTGAGATCATGTGACTTCACTGTAAGGCCGGCCATACATGGGTCGATTTTTGAATGATATTTTTAGTTCGAAAATCGGACCTAAGAATAATCGGCCAATTTTCGCTCTGTTAGTGGGGCAATGGCACCGACCCATTTTTATGGTTCTTCCCCATTTAGTTTATCAGGCATGCTGGAAAATTCATGAAAAATTACCAATTTTCAAAATCATTGGTGGCACCATCGAATTACAGAACGAACAATGTTTTTGGAATTCGACCCATGTATGGCCTGCTTAAGTCGCACGATTTCAAAGGGCTTCATGTGACCGGGGTCTTAAGGTGAAAGAAAACAACTTCCAACACCTGTTCCCCCCACACAACTCTGTAAACACTTACATGAGTCCAATCATAATCCAATGCTGTCCTGTCTGCAATATTGTAGTACTACTGCTGCCTCTTACTGGTCTCACAGGAGACTCTGTGACCAAAGGGAGCCATTGGCTTTTGCTGCTGTCAGTCATATCCTATGAGTAAGGAGTAGGGGGCAGGCCATGCTAAAAGGGCACCCAGATGAGGAGGTAAGAGACTGTTCTGTGTAATATCCACAGAGCAGGTAAGCATAACATCTTTTTTATTAAAAAAAATAGATTTTTTTATCCCTTTAGCCGCATAAGAATAAAATCAGGTTTAGAATTCAGCTTTAGCCTTGACTCATACTAGCACGCAGGCCCCAGGCTGGTTGCGGGTGCAGGAATTTCACCTGTTCCAGCACCCGCAACCACCCGCAGCCGGATTGTGCTGCTCTTTCGAGACACACGGGGCTGCCATTCACTCTGAATAGCACACCCACGTGTCTCAGCCCACAGCATGAACGCAGATGCGGGAACCGCAGGGAAACCGCATTGTCAAAAAGACCATGAGGTTTCTCTACAGATGTGTTTTTGTGCTCTTTTTTAAATATATGTTAAATGTGTAGAAATCTTGACAAACAAAAACAAAATGTTTAAATTTTAATAGGTAATTAAATCAAAACAAACAAAAAAATCAGCAGAAGAATAATGGCTGAACAGAGGAGACTAAGGAGTCAATTAGGGCTGGTTAGAGGAAATTTAGGATTAATAAGGAGCTAAACAGGAACATTTTATTACAGAAAAGCAAACTTTTTTTTACTTGTCAGGTTGCGTTAGCTGATATCATCTGCAGATCTCAGTTAATTCCTTTGATCTGCAGATGAATGAACAGAAAGATACAATATGTTACAATATGTTACTTTGTATCTTTGTATAAATGCAGTCTGATCAGTACTGTTTATAAACACTGAGTCAGACTTTTTTGACAGCTAGAGCTGCCTACTTCTTCCCTGAATATACTGTAATGCTGACTATGATTATCCTATAATTATGGCATACTTGGAGGGGGGTCCCAGAAGCAGAGACTGGACATGTTACACATACCCTGTGTACAATGATGAAGTGTTTTTTGGGCATGCATAGCACATTCAAAGTCTGCAACTAGTTAAAGAGCCAAAGTGATGGATCTTTATGTGAAATGAACAGTTTTAATTTTAGAATGGTGCCCCCCCCCCCCTGTGATACCAAACCATTTCCATATAGTCAATCTTCATTGCAGATTAGAAAATGAAAAGTGTCTGGTTGCTATGAGGACCCAGACACTGTCCTCTGAGACACTTCTGAGATATCAATCCCACTGAATGGCAGCTGTCTCCTCACCTTCATGGTGTCAATGGTTTTTGATGGCGTTCTGGAAATTTCCCTCTGGGACATGGACGTATATGGTAATTGGTCGGAAATGCTGACGGACTGGTAGACTGAACCTGTTGGAAAAAAAAGAACAGTCCTTAAACTGGTATATAGCCTGAGAACAGCCACATATATGAGAGATCAATTGGAAATACAGAGAGGATCTGCTCATCAATTAACCGGGATGCCACCTAGTTAGAACTTTATTGGCCCAGCTTGCTCCAAATATTATTAGGATACAGGCCTTGTAGCCATTTTTTTTTTTTCCCCAAAAAATTCTGGTAACCCAATCAAACAACCATTTTCTTCTCCATTCACTTCCTTTCTCAGAGAAACAACAGGAAGTGCAAGAGAAGATCTTTACAAAGTGAAGGGATATCCCCTCCTAGGCATTTGCCACTGGAACAATTGTCTTTATTTGGAAATTTGCCTATACCTCCTATTCCTGCAACAACTCAAACACTTTTGATGAAAAGAGCTTCCAACCATTTCTTATTTTATCCAGAAAAACATTTTTGGCTCTAAATACTCTTTAAGTCCTAAAGCTGAAGTTTATTCTGCTTTTTCTTCCCTGGTTCCCCCCTTCTCCCCCTCATCAACATGCTAATGATTTTTTTTTTACTAATACCTTTCTGCATTACCTTAATTTAGACCCAATTAATGCATCACTGGGTCTCTGTGCATCTCCATGCAATGTAGATAGATTATGGTTGGTGGGAGGGGCCAGCAGGGTGGTGTACATAGCTTCCTGAAAACACCACTGTACCCTGATATTGTATTTCTCTTAAGAGTCTGCAGCCCTAATACAAGCAGTGGGCTGTTCTTGGGAGGTGTTATGAAAATATCAAAGTATCTAGATTAGCAAATGTCATAGTGGAGGAGTGGGCATTCCGAGCTGCATGTGCATGTGAAACCCAGTGAAAGGAAGGGACAGGGCAGAGACTTTCAGGATGGGGAAGAAAGTGCTAGATCAGTGGTCTCCAAACTGCGGCCCTTTGCTTGCTTTTATCTGGCCTTTGAGCCACCTTTTGCCCCACAGTCAGCAACAATGGAGCATAGTTCCTGCCTTTGACACCTACAATGGGGCATTATTTATCTCACTGACATCAAGAATGGGGCATTATTCCTCTCACTGACACCAACAATGGGGTACTATTCAAATTCCTAATATCAAAAATAGGACACTGTTTACTCCCACTGACACCAAGACATTTTCTTCTCCCACTAGCATCAGTCCGGCCCTCCTAAAGTTTGAAGAACGGTAAACTGGCTCTTTGTTTAGAAAGTTTGGAGACCCCTGCGCTAGATGATGCTGGACATCCTCCAGTCAGGAAATGAGTCAGATTCTATATGACTTGCTACAGCTTCTAATGCACACTGTAAAACTCATATTAGGCAGTGTATAAATAATAATAAAATTCCGGGCATTAGAGGAGCCTGTACAGCTGTGCAAGTCCTGAAAGTAAAGCTGAGGTTCAGCTTTAAAACTTATAAAATTTAAAAAAAATATCTACAACAAAAAATTTTGAATGTGAAACTGTAAAGCTGGCCATAGGTGGATCAAAATTCAGCTGTTTCAGCAGGGACCATCCAAACCTTGATCCATGTGTGTCTATGCCCGTCTGACAGAAGTTGATCAACAGACTGACTTTTGTCAAACGGGCTTGTTGGGAAACTTTTCTCAATCAGTCTGCAGCTGCTGATCAATTTATTCTGAAAGCAGAGAGTCCCACAATATTCCAGTGGGAAGGATTCTGTGTGGGTAGGGGAATCCATTGTTTTTTTTTTTTTTTTTTTTTTTGTTCAACCTGCTGACTGATTAAAAAAACAAGTCATCTACTGTATGGCCAGCTTTAGAACTTCTATCAGGTTTTTATTGCTGTCTCCACTTGGGAGACTTTCCCTCACTTCCTGTCTCAGTTACACAAGGACAACAAGAAGAATAGTTGTAGTCAGTCGAAATGATTTTTTTTTTTACATTGTTTGGACCTGTGTCTTTTTTCAACTTATGCAGCCTTTCCCCATTTTTTTAAGAAGGCATTCTTCTGATAGAGAGATTTCTCTTAATTTCTTGTCTCCTGTTCCTCCCCTAAATTTTTGGCGGTGTACACCTAATTTAATGCTGGAGGAAAACGCAGAATAATTGCCCAAAGATTTTCTTCTATTTAACCAGCAAACTCAAAAAAATGCGCCTTTTGACGTTTGGTCAAAAGTGAACGAAAAGAGTGGTGGGCACAGACTGCATATTAATGAAACAAATGTATAACGTGACACATAACAGCAATTGCGGCTTCTTCAAAGCCTCCATAGCATATAAACCATTCTGTCCCCCAGCAACATACAGGTGCACAGACCCTGTACTGCAGCATTTCTGAAATTTCTGTGTACGTTGCCTGTGAGCCGTGAAGCTATAATATAATCTTTCCAACAATATTGACTTAGACATAGTTTAGTGAATAGGTTTTTACTTAGCTCCCCTCCACCCCACTTTTGAAAGCTTCTGTACTTTCTCCTGTGCAAACTCAATACAGGCCCAATCTGTCATCACCCAAAGCTTGGATTCCCTGAAGGACTCACAATAGACTTACATTGTCAAAAAGCCACTTAAAAGCAAAGGTGGCAATTTAACCCGTAAAAAATAACGAGGAATGCGGCGAGATTGATGTAGTTGCTTTATATGATATTACAATGATTTACTGTAAAGCTGTTGTATAAACTGTTGTTGATATGAAATAAAACTCAAGCAGGAAAAAAATCAGGCTTCTAAAACATCTTGAGGTCAGTAACATTCTATGGCCAAATGTATGTGGACCCTCCTCCAAATCAATGAGTTCAGATGTGAAGAGTCGTGTCCATGCTACATCATACAAAGACATTGTGGACAACTGTGTGCTTTCAGTTTTGAAGGCCCTTTTCTGTTCCAGCATGACTGTGCCCATGTTCCAAGCCAGCTCAATAAAAGACATGGTTTGACCAGTTTGGTGTGGAGGAACTGGAGTGACCTGCACAGAGCCCTGACTTCAACCCCACTGAACACCTTTGTAATTAACTGGAATACTAATTGTGAGCCAGAACTACTCATTCATGATTGTGGTCCAAGGGAAGGCAAAAGCAACTAGTTGGGCACAGGGCTGGATTTAGACCTTAGAAACCCCAGGGTACTCCAAGTTCCCTACATACACAGGAATTACAATTCATGGTAAATCACCAAATATACACATCGTTTTCTTGCATGTCATTGGAACTGACAAGGTATACAGTACATATATAAAAAGGTTAGTAGACATGTGCATGCTGGAAATTTTTGTTTAGTTTTGAATGCATTCATTCATTGAAAAAGTTGTTTCGTCACATTGTTAGGTTGAACAAATTCATTTTCAGAATTTGTTTCATATCTTTGGGATTCATTCTGCATTGTCTTTGGTCTGGATGGATTTGAAAAATTTTGCAGTTTTTCCAGAAGATTGCCAAATATTCAGTTTTCAATTATCGAATCAAACAGATTAGAATCTGCAGGATTCAATATTTTTGGATGCTAGTTCATCCCATCAGAAGAAATGGCATGAGCTGATCAGACAATATCATGTGAATCTGAATTAACGAATGGAGCAAAATTCAGATCCATCCATTATTCGAACCAAATTATCGATCAAATTCAAAAATTTAAAACATTTCCACATGGGCGGCGACTATTGTCACATCACGTGATGTTATCTGAATAAAATGAATGAAAAAAATAATTTGTTCATTTTCATTAAACCTTTTTTTTGGATTAATTTACACTCCTTATTATGTCAATACAGAGATTTGTATACATCCTACTGCCAAACAAATACAAATCATAACGAAATGAAATGAATACGTCTAAAGGTTACTTGAGTTATATATCAGAAGAAAAGATACATATACATGTAAATACATGCCAGCAAAACTCCATGTAGAGTTTTAGGCAAGACAAGTGACAAAGAACATGAAAATGCTGCAATGTACTCTTTAGTTTCCATAGATAGCAATGACTGACTCATCAGTTTACACAACAAAATAAACTCTGAACCTGTCAATGTAAATCTAAGTTGAGTTTATCTAAGCTAAGTTCAGTAAGTTTTACCAACATAAATCTATATGGAGCACACTACAATATCTACAATATCCTTTCTTTCTGCACTTGGCATCTGAAAAATTTTCCAGGAACTCCTCAAACTGTATCATCTTTAGAACTCTGCTCTCTACATCCCCTTGGTACAAAGCGCCTAAGCTGGCCATTCACTTAAAGGAGAACTACAGCCAAAGCTTGTTTGGCTGTACTTCTCCTGTGGTTCGCAGGAGTGCTGTTTGTTCTGCACGCCAGTGACCCATTTTCAGCTGACAGTGGGCTAAAGCCCGCTGTTGTCTGATGTCACTCAGCCGGTCCAGGCTGGGGATAGATTGTGGTCATATGGTTATGATCCAACCAGGAGCCTGGACCTGCACCTGGCTCAGTCCCTCAGCAAGCCACTGAGAACCTGAGCCTGGTGCTTCTGCCCCCTCCACAGCTTGGCGCTCCAGTGAGCGCTGGAGGAGGGGCGGATAGAAGCCGGAGACTGACAGTCCCGATTCTCTGCTCAGAGTGGCGGGGAGAACTGAGCGATCAGCGGTGTTTGATCGCTCAGTTCACAGCCTTAGGGCTAGCAGGGGACAGATGTAGCATTGGATCCATGCTGCATCCACCTAGGTAAGTATGATTAAAAAAAAAAAAAGAATTCCAGTACTTCTCTTTTAAAATGTCAAGTGATTCAGCAGCATTGGCTGAAAACAGTGGGTGGCCCTAAATAAAGATGGCCGTGGTATCTTCCTCTGATGAAGTGTGTGCGCACGTAATGCGTAAGGAGGAGCCAACTCACGCTGTGACGTCACGCCGTCGGAGCATCGTGGAGCTTTGACGGCCATCTTTATTCAGGGACGGTTAGTCCATACCACTGTGTATTGTATATTTACGGATGCAACCTTTTTTACCCTCAATAAATTATTTTCATACATACTATACTATGGGCATTCTTCCATTTTGACCCCTCTGTGGGGAGTTTGATTTTTTAGACGCCCAT